GGGCTCTTATGGAACAAGGTAGAATTTCGTTGCACTGATAGATAGTTATTGAAAATTCATCTGTGTCATCTGATAATTTGAATCAATTAAAAATTTTAGGTTTATACAATTATTCATCTTTATGATTCTAGGAGATAATGAAGCTCAATAATAACCGCGATTAATGATGATGATGACGATTAACAATGATTGCTTATAGTCAAATTTAAGAACTCGTTTCGAAAATTTCTTCTGCAACTTTAAAATTGAATTCAAACCAACAGAAGTAATTTGAAGATTTCAACTATACCAGCAATCTTATCATCAAACTATCGTAACGATTTTAAAGATCTTCTAAAATCATAAAGACTGATTAAAATTAGGGGTATAACTTTCAAGAACAAAAGTTTCTCTCAATGCAAGCAATCGTTCGTGTAATAAACTGTCCAAATTACAGTGAGTGTTAAAGAAAGGATAATCACTCCAATTATTAATCACTATAATTTAAAGCAAAAATAACTAATTATGCTGATGTTATTGAGAAATTACTGTGACTGTTTAAAGTTGGCTAATGACTGTAATTATCAAGATAACGATGGAAATAAAAAGTTGAGCATGCAATCATAATTCGATTATCGATAACAGTAACACAGTAATACAATGCAAAAGATTTTTGTGATATAATCAGTGATAATAATTAACTGATCGATGATAAGAATACGGATTTTAGATTATATGATGCGATGTATGCTGCTACTATTGCATGGATAAGACAAAATACTAGTGAAGTTAAATAAAGTTAAGATTCGAATTCTTTCATCTCACTGGTACTAGTACTAGCAGCGATGGTGTAACAGTTCAATTACAGTGACAAGTGATAAGTGACAGTATCATACATGGCAACGGACTATCTTCTTTATCCCTCGAAACCTCGTACCAATCTATCCGTCCGGCAAATAAATCCCGGAAAAAATGTGGCCGCAAAACATTCAACATGTCCGGCAAATTATTCGCTAACTGCTGCAGCTTTATATCGTACTTTTCCCATTTAATGGGATTAAATTCTATCACCCATCGATAGCTCTATCTCTCTCTCTCTCCCTCTTTTTTCTTCTGTATTTCTCATTCCCTTCAATTTCTATAATTTTGCAGTAATATCGATATCACAGATTTTGTTAACATATGGAAGATGGGAGTTGATAAATAAAAGAGGATAGATTAACTCCAACTTATAATTTAAATAATATCTATGCTTAAAAATTTGTATTGTATTTATTGATAAAAGCTATCAGAATATATTTCGATATATTCTTAGGCATGTTTTTCTTTTTCCCTAAAATGTGCAAGCATTTATTATGCAAATTTTTCTGTGAATTTTAAAGTTTAATTTCATTTATTTTAGCTATTAAAAGAATAACAAATAAAATGAAAATAAACCGTCCCTCCAACATAGCATCGAGAAATGGTAATATTAGAAAGATATTAATTAGTTTGTCAGTTCACTTGTTTACTTATTCATTAATTCATTTGGTATGAAAGCTACAACATTAAATGAAGTGATTTATGTTGATAAGCGAAATTAGGATCAAGAAGTCCTTGTGCTAATTTTCGATAAGCGTTGAGCTATATTTAATAAGCGGTATATTAATTGTATCGAAACAATACCGTTTCTGTTGTGGATAATTTATACATTTGTATTTTATGGATAATCCTGAACTAATCCACTGTGAAATATTTCGAGAACAAGAATTGACCTATTGACCTTTCTTCTTCTCTTCTTTTCCTTCTTTGAAGAATAATGAGGTAGTTTGAAGAAATTATTCGCTTGCTAAACACAGTGAATGAAAAATAGAATCCATCGATTCCATCTCTTGTTCTCTCTATCTTTCACTACCATGTCCTCTCTCTTTTTTCCGTGTTGTTTCATGAGTTCCTTTGCTCCCATCTCATAGTACATTTCATCTTAATCATCTCACTTTTACGTCTCTCATCTCAACTTCACCATTCATCTCTTTATTTGTTTGTTTACATCAAAGGAAGAGAGACAGATGAGGGAAGAAAGATCGAGATGGGTGCTACTGAACAGGCATGTATGTTTGTATCATTTTTCTCTCCCGCACTTCCCGTCTTGAAAAGGAGGAAACTGCTGACTATCGTACGACAAGTTTGTAACTTTACCGCATTTCGATTTCTTGTTTCAGATTTACCGGATTCCTATTTTAGATATATCGGTTTTTGTTCTCCTTTCAAATTTACCGGATTTTCTTTTCTTTTTCCTTTTTTTTTACGGTGGGAAATAAATTGATAAAGTAGGATATATAAGATTTTGATAAAAATTTTCTCCATTAATCGAAAATGATAAAAACGGAATAGAATTGGCAGAGGATTGGAGATTCAGGTTTTTCTCCAAAATAATATATCTACGTTTTTTTCGACAATTCTTGTTTGGCTGTTAAAATTCTCGCTTTCCTACATGTTCACGAGGAAGTCTTTTTTTGAATGATATCAAGTTTCCATATTGTCAGAAGCTAGTTACAGGCAATAAACTCTGAATTTCTTTTTGTTAATTATTATAACTTTTTAATTAGTAACTCTTTCGGACTTACAGTAAACTGAGAAAAGAGAAATTGATTCTTTTTGGAATTGCTTCTTATGATAATGACAAGTAAATAGAGCGATCCAGTTTAATAAAATCAAATATTACGCTTGACGAGAAGTTATAATATTATTAAGTAATGGAATATTGATTTTTATAGCTTATGAAATTAGTTTCATTGTTATTTCGTTAGATCTAAACAAACAGCAATATGAATGAATAAGGAATGAACCTTTCACCCCTGATGTTCATCGATGTATTTTCTGAAATTTTAAGATTCTGATATGTCTACATATGAAGAAGTTTTGATATAATATCATGCTATTTCCATATTCATTTCAATTCTCTTCCTTTTGTTGCATATTCTGTCGGAACGAAAATTTGACATTCGCATTTGTTTTTCTGTGCTAAATGCATCTGACAAATTGTCTTCCAGACTGGTAACAGTCAACAGAGATGTTACGAAGGATTGGAATAGAATAAGTTATTATAGAAATATTTCCATTTCTTTTCTTTCATATTTTTTTTCTTTAGTAATGTAATATTAGCACTATGTATAGTTGTTATTTATTATTTCATTTCACTATAAAGTTTCGATTTTTGATAATACAATGAGATAGCTAGCTGTATATACGATGAGATAGCTTGATGTTATGCAAACATTAATTAGTATTAGTAGTGTACTTTAATAAACGTGTGTATTGGAATAATTTCTAAGCTATATATTGAGGAATAGCAATATTGATTTCTTTCCTTCCATTTATAATTGATCGAATTTTGCAACCTCTAGCATTAGCTGTAGTTTGTGAGAATATTATTAAAGCTGCACTACGGTTGCCACTTTGTTCATCAGAGAATTTGCTTCACTCATTTTTTCGCACGCTTGCATATCACATACAATTGCACGCATTAATACACATGTGAAACTACGAACACATATATACCAAGCATTAGTTAACAAATATACGAGTGTATGTGTGTATTTATATGAGTGTGTGTGTGTGTGTGTGTATGTGTGTATGTGTGTATGTGTTTATGTGTTTATGTGTTTACACACACGTATTCATCATTTGTGAATGAATAAATGCTAGGGGATGAAATTTATGTGTAAATTTACCTGTTTATAATGGTATTAGTATTCAACAAAATGGGGGGTCAGTTTTCAGATTCAATTTGATTAGGTCAAAATAAAATATGAAAGAAGTTTTTGTTATTGAATTAAATCATTTTCTATATGGAAATTTTCCTGAAATTTAATACTGGACATAAAAAGGACTTAATCAGGATTTAGCTTGATATGGCTCTAGGATTTGGTTGAGATTAGGAGTAGTATATGAATTAACCAAAATTGGAATAATGTATCTGAAATTGATATATGCATTGGAATGGATTGTTTTTCCTTTATTACATGCACATATCCGATCTTTGTTTAAAATCATATAAGATTTGGTCTGAAATGACCCAGTCATGCATTTTACTTTCCAAAATTTTATTAATTTATATACGCATATTAAATGTAATCTTTGCTACATATAATTTATTGATGCGTGAAATTGATTTTCGATTATTTTATCTAATTTTTAAATATATATCTCAAATATAAGTTAACTTTAACCAATCAGCAGATAGTGTGATTTGTTCATGAATTCGCAGAGCAAAGCTCTTAATCCGTTAACTCGCTATGTGGTAAACATCTGATACTTTTTCAATTAAAAAAAAATGGTTAATATTTTGCAGTCATGGGTTTAGCAGCAAGTTCGGGACATGATAATGACGATTTAATAGATAAACTTATTGATGCTAACATTGTTGTTACTCATCGCGTTGAAACTGCTTTAAGGTAAGTATGGATATTGCTAGTAACCATCATTAAATGAATTGAAAGATTTTCAAATTAAATTTTTTTCCTCGTAAATTGATAATTTTCTGCAGTTGTTTAATTTATTACTTCTTTACAAGAAGTTGCATGTCTAAAATGGATAATAAGGCTTTCTTGCTATTTCTTGTCGGTTCATTATTTTTTAGATTGGTTGACCGTCGTAGGTTTTTTCCGGTTGAAGGCAGATATATAGCATATAAGGATTTGGCTTGGAAAAGTGAATTTGGGTCTCCTGGACGTATACACATTTCTGCTCCATGTATATATGGCAATGTTTTGGAATGCTTAGATCTGCGTGAAGGCAATAGTTTTCTCAATGTTGGTTCTGGTACGGGTTATCTAAGTACAGTTGCTGGGTATTTATTAGGTAAGCAAGAGGAAAATTTTTCTTTTCAATTTTTCAAAAAATTAAATTTTTGTTTTGTTTGTTAGAACAGATAAAAATCGTTAAAAACATATGAAACAAAAATCAATTACAGCGTTTAGCAAGCACTGATGCTCAAATATTAAATGTTGTATTTCTTATTGACCTTACATGTCATTATATTTTTTGTTTATACTACATTTTTATCGTCTATGTATTGTAACTATAATACTGCAGTTTAAGATTGCTCTGCAAGCAATGTTTTATTCTTAGAACAATCTGACTTACATCATTCATCAAAATGAACTATTAGAGTACGGAAATTTAAATAGTAAATTTTTTTGTTATATTATATCGAGCTTTATATCAGTTATTGTTTTCTATTCTCATTTACAGGTAGCAGTGGTACGAATCATGGTGTTGAAATTCATTCAAATATTGTAGACTACGCTCGTGCATTAGTTGTCGAGACATTGCATTGCCCGGAAACGCAATGTTACGATTGGGCAATTCCGGAATTTGCTTGTGGTAATGGATTGCATCTTAGCCCATCTCATTATAGTAAATATGATCGTGTATACTGTGGTGCTGCTGTTCCGCCGTCGCATCGGCGAATCCTCTGGGAATTGTTGAAAATTGATGGTATTCTTGTGATGCCTTATGAGGATCAGGTAATAACGCTTCTCGATAATGGTACTTTCGATCAGAGTGGAACATCCATCCATTTTTGCTATTTTGTAATTTATTCAAAATGAAGCCATTAATGAAATTTCTAATTTCATTATTGAATATTACTTCAGTGCGGCATATGCAATATGTGTCATTCCATGGCAGTTTCGTGTATTATTGCATCTTTAAACTACAAAACTCTAATTCATTGTTCGCTTGTGCCAGCAGCAACTAAGATTTTATTTGCAACTTACAGTGTTTTATTATGTCAGCAAGTTCTTGTCGGTTTCAGTTATTGCAAGTACGTCGTCAAACACTGAATGTGTTCGAAGTCAAAATTATTACGTCTGTTTCGTTTTCGGATTTCATACCGCCCACTGAAGAGGAAACTTCGAAAGAGCTCTACTCGAATGCTCCACCGTTCAGATCGATTCATACATTGCAGTTCCTTTGTGCTTTATCTATTCGTAAAATTATTCGTTCCGCAGTTGCTGTAAATCATAAAATACATATTCGAAATTTTGTAAGTATATCTCTACCTTCCACTACGAGATAACTTCTAAATTACTTACTCCTAAAGCAGAAGGTAGGATTACGCTGTGTGTGTATAGGTAAATAATGGATTGGTTATGAGAATTATTGGTTGCCCCTTAAAATATGTATTAAAAAGAAAGTGACATCGTGTCACTGTTTGTCGAACTATTCTTTATTGGACTAGCCGATAGGCATTGGTCGCAGCTCTCTTCTTTAGTTGTTCTTTTAAGGTTGATCAACAACCGCAAAGAATACCTGAAAATCATGTCATCGTCGAATTTCGCGATGGTGAACATCCAGTGGGACAACGTGCACACTACGAAAATCATCAACTGCCATTTCGTGAATTAGCCATCGTTAGAGCAGATTTTGTAATTCATTTTCCGTCGCGTTTCCGTAAATTAAAATAAACGACGGGTTGCTTGAAGTTCGTATTGAGAGTGCGTTCGACCCCCATCAGCTTGCCGTGGTGCTTCATAGCATTTGCCTATGTCCATCATATGACATGTCTATACTCATTTCTCAAAGTACGATATATTGTGTTGGGTAACAACTCATTTCGATCTCCGTAATTGCAAAAATGAAAAGTAATACTTTCTTGCAGGTTGGTGATGATGAAAATGAAGATAATGATGTGGTGGAAGAGGCAGATCCGGATCGAAGAAGACGTTTGGTTCGTGAAAGATTCCGAATGGTGTGGTTTCGGCACCATCTTCGTGCACACATTGCTAATCGAATAGTGAGAAGGTTTAGATTTCTTCATATTTTGCTTATTACAATTTTCATGATTTCAAGTTAATTGTTGTTACATATTAACAGCTAATTTCAAGCTTCCAAGCTTTTGTTTAGTAGAAATCAGAACTATATATTTTCATTTAAGTTATATGTTCGAAAAATAATTTAAAAAACTTTTTGCTTCCCTCATAGTTGGTTAAATATTTTTCGGTTGGAAATTATCTTTAGACGTCGTCCACTTGAAGCGGAAACGCACGGAGGAGATGAAGATGATCAAAACAGTGATGTTGACATTGTTGACGGGAATGAAAATTCTGAGTTTGTTTCCTTTATGCAAGTCGTTGTTTTATTTCCGGTATCTAATGTCGTAAAAGGTTTCCTAGTGGTTATCAAAATTTGTGCTGGGCATGATTATTTTATCGAAGAGAGATTAAAGTGCAGCCTTCAAAGGTCCTATGATTATAGTTATTAACTACATATTCAATGCTGACATTGCATGCTCATTAGCTTTTGAATTTGTTTAAAGTATCTAGCAATATATTCCGTAATTATTTTTTGCATGACTGTACCAATAGTATTACGGAAACAGAAAATGTAGTGCTTATGTTGTTTTTAACGTTATTGCAGATATAATGGTTCGGGTTCATTGTCCGCAGCTACTAGTGATCCTACTGATACGTCGGTAGATACTACTGAATCGTACAGTGATAGTGCCTCAACAACAAATCGCTCAAAAAAACGGTCATTGTCAGTTATTCACTTGTCTCTTGTAATTAGTGTGGATTTTATATCGATATTTTGAGTACTTCATAGCTACCTAATCATTTTGAGTTTGTTTAGTTTGGAGTATAATTAATTTTACTCACCTTAAACTTTCTTGACTAATGCGTCCAGGTAGCTTATATGCATTAGTCTAGTTCTAATTCTGAAATCCAACCTTTGGATAGTATGAAAATTTCGTTGAAAATTTTTTTTATCGCTAACATGGATTTCAGTTATGCAGATTTATTTTCGAAATACCAAACTCTTACGGATGTTTATAAACTTTCATTTTATTAAAGGGATGTTTTTAGATAGCTTTACTTGTTAAGCCATAAAATCTAAGAAGGTACAGATTATTGAAAACGGGTTAAGTGATAATCGGTTAATAGCTTTCAGTAATGTCACTAATCCAGTAATTATAAAATGCGATATGAATGAAATAGAATATTTTCTTGATGAGAAAGAATGAAATACATTTAGCTAGTTGATAGCAAGTTGATGATGCCATTTCAATGGTAGCAAAAATTTGCTGTGAGTGGAAATGAGATATCCTTTCTCTCCGTTACTGTTTTTCCACGTTCAGTTTTGTCATGTTTTATTATTCAACATTGATTTATATATGAATCAATTTTAGTATGGAACACGAAGGTGAAAGAAATTTGAGTGCTAAACGACGCAATGATGATGACGATGGTTGCACAGATAAAGAAACGATGGAAACTGATTTTGTAAATAATGATTGTAGGGCGCAAAATATTCGAAAACAAGACCTGCCGGATAAAAGTAGATCAGGTAGTGAATCTATGGTAGCTGTCGTTACTCAGGAAACACTAGCGGAACCGAAAAGGAGCGTTAATCCAAAAAATGAGAAAAACGTATCTGAATATCGTGAAGAAGCGCAAAATTCTAACGATTTTAAATTTGCTGAAAGGGCAGTAAAAAATAATGAAACCGTGAGTCACTGGACTGAAGAAATGGTAGAGCAGCTGCAGGATTTGCAGAGAAAAGAAGCTGGAATGGAGAATATTTCGAAACACAAAGAAAGCAATGTTTGTTCAAACCTTCGAGATCAAGGCATCAATTCCTCTGATTGTAATCATGATCAAGATTATGGGCAGAATTGTAGCAGATCTATCAATCGATCGATTCAAGTCCAAAGTTCGAAAACTCAGAGTGAAGCAAACGATAAAAAGTGGGTTACGAATCATACAAGTAGTAACACACTTCGTACGAAATCTGATAAAACGGAAGATATTTTGGAAGCAAATCGGGAATTTTCCACCTCCCCTAGAGATCTTAGCTCGAAGGATGACGAATTCATGTGGCAAAATAACAGATTATACAAAAATAAAATAGAAACCAAATCTGCAGGACGATATGACTCGAAAAATGAAGTTGAAGATTTGATAGATGCATGCAATTCTTCGAGTAAATCGGAAATTTTGAAAACCTCACATAGTGAGTTGGAATCAGATAATCGCCATCTGGTTACAAACATCAAAGAAAAGGAAAACTCTGATGATGATCATGACTACGACGATGTTGACGATGTTGATGATGATGATGATGATGATGATGATGATGATGATGTTAGTGATGAAGATGTTGAGGAGGATGGTGGTGATGATAACGATGATGATGGCAATGCCAATAGTAGTTCGGGCGATGCCGAAGATCGGGAAAATGACCCGGAATATAGCAGTGATAATCCGCGCTGTGATGCTAGCTCCCGGCATGAAAATCGACTATATTTGGCTGCTCGTCATACAGCACAAAGTATGATTATTGCAGCTGGTGGTCAGGTGATTTTTGAATTAGCAGATTTTCATCTCTATATTGGACTAACAGTTTCATTTCAGGCCTAGTAAACATGGATTTTTTGTGTTCAAATACAGTTGATCTATCACCATATACATAACGAGTGGTGTTATGTATATGGTGGTAGATCATCTGTATTTTTTATATAATAACAAATTCGAGATAAAAAATTATCTCTCCTCTTCGTTCTTATGAGTTGTAATTGATGTTTTTAACATTTGAACCACTGAGGTAACGAAGTACTGGCGAAGGATTCCACATTTCTTACGTTTTGTTTTGCATTTGTCGAAGTTGGTTTATTTTTTACTGCTTTAGACTTATAATCAAAGCCCTCGAAATGGCGTTGAAAGCGATTCAAGTAGTAATGAGTATCATGATGCTATGGATGATGAATCTATGTCTCGTCGTAGACATGATACTGAAGATGAAGTTAGTTTATTTCTTCCTATCTCGATGGGTATCATTTCGTGCTGGGTGGCATTTACGGAATTTTTCGGGAATTTCAGATGTTACTGAATTGTTAGGAAATGAGTCAAATTTGAACTTGTAAGTCTCAAGGGACATTTGCGTTATTTTTTCATTGCAGGTTATGAGCTTATTTTCAGCCGCAAACAGAAGAGGAAAAGAAACGTGAAGAAGCAAGGTTGGAGGAACGTGGGCGGCAATTCAGTGATATCTGTACATTCGCTTCTCTATTCGAATGCAGAATAATGGAATTACCGTTAAACCGTGCTCTCAAAGAGTATATCAAATGCCTTTCCTAATTAACTTTGAATTCTGCTAGTGTATTTTCGACTTGAATTGTAATTATACTTTTTTAAACATAGAAAAACTAAAGCAAAGAAAAAACCTTTTACCCCTTGCAAGGACATAGAAATTATGTAAGAAAAAATTTTCTTATATGATTTTTCTTGAAGCGCTTTCTATAACATTGTAAATTATTATGCAGTGGGTCGGCATAGAAGGCCTCGATTTGTTGAGTCCATCCGAAAAGAAAAATTCAATATTTTTTTAAATTCTGAATTTACAGTACGAAAACATTATTATGTGAGATTGAGCGATCTTTTCATTATGTTTTGAAAGTTTAGGATATGTTCATCAATCAATTTCAACATATGTAACATTTTGGTATTTAGTAAAATTTCTTCATAAGCCGCTTATCACTATTACTAATTTCATATTGTGCATCAGATTTTTTTAATCCTCATTTTATGTTTTTATATATGTAAAAACTTATCTGAGCTAAAACAGCCATTTATTTTCATCAAATTTGAAACTATGCTGAATAACTTGAAATGATTCATAGGAATCATGTTTAATTTTTTGAAATTTTTTCCTTCTATAATTATATGGGGATCCTAATTATCTCCATTGTATATTTTTTGTACATAAAAAATGTTTTGATGTTATTGTTGTCGTATTCAAATAAACCTAGAAATAATTGCCACTTTAAATAGCAATTTCTTTTTTCATTTCATAATTGTCGTACACACATGTTTATGTATCACCGTGAGTTATCCCAAATATTTTTCAACACTTTCTGTATGTTATTTTATATCGTATAGTTATTAAAACGAAAAAAAAAAGAAAAGAAATCAAAATGTAATAACATATAAACATTTTAAAAAAATTCCTATAAATTTGACATCACATAGGAAAATTTAGGAAGTAAGTAAAATTCGCTTATGATATAATCTAATCAAATGTTTTTATTAGCATACAACGAAGATAAAATATGTGAAATATATGCAAATTGATTATTATACAGAAAAGTTATAATTAACGCTATTTTAAAATCCCTGTAGTAGAAGGATGTGCTTAACATAGAACTTACCCCCTCGCCTCCCGCAGTAAAAAGAGAAGAAGAATTCCATTTTTCGATAAATTTTTTAGTAGGGAAAATAAATTGCATAAAATCCCTTCCTCGTTATACCCGTGCCACGATAGTTAATCGAAAAAATTACACTTTTCCAATATATTTTAACCAACGATATGTTTAGATACTACAATTCATTAAAATGAACAATTATTCTACCAATTAATGAAATTATTTAATTAATTTTAGTAAATTTCAAAGAATGCATAAAAGAAAATGAAATCAATTGACAGGTATTTCTTTCTTTAAGTGTATATAATAAATTTGAATTAAATCATTAATTAATCCATTTTAGTAGATTTCAAAAATACATGAAAGCAAATTAAATCATTGGCAGATATTTCTTTTTTTTTTTTTTTTTAAATCAATAAGCTTGAATTAATCCTTCATTTAATTAATTAAAAGTTTAAAAGAATAAAATAATAAAACAAAGGGATAATTTTGAGTTTCTTTTTTTGTTTTTTAACAAATGAAATAACAAAACAATTCTTTTATATGAAATATGTAAAATTATTTTGACAATAATAAAAATTTGTAAAAATTACAAAAAATTAAAAATTGAAATGAAATATTTTATCAAATATAATTTGGCACTTCTTGGCCGGTGAGCAGACGAAACATTGATGTGGGCATTGTTTTCATATGAATCTCACCAATTGCTGTTGCAAGCATATTAACAATTCGTTCATGTGGTACTGCAACAACACTTTGTGTATTAATTTCAATAATTCGATGACCAACACGTATTCCACCACGTTCCGCTATACCACCACGTAATAAACTACAAATCTAAATAGTGGGAAATTTTTCAACAAAGTAGAAAAAGAAGAAAGAAAGAATGGAAAGAGGTAAGGAATGAAATTGAAATTTAAATGTGATAATAGTTAATTGTCGGAAAATGATTTAAAAAATTAATTTTAACTACGAATAAATTTTTGGTAAGTTTTTGGAAAAAGATTTAAAAAGTTAATTTTAGAAATTGAAATTGTGATAATAATTAATTAATGATTGAAATTGTGATAATAAATTAATAATAATTGAAATTGTGATATAAAATAATTAATAGTTGAAATTGTGATCGTAAATCAATAATAACTGAAATTGTGATAATAATTAATTAATAATTGAAATTGTGACAACGAGTTAATAATAATAATTGAAATTATGATAATAATTAAATGTGATAATAATTAATTTTTGGAAAATGATTTGAAAAATTAATTTCAATAAAGCATAAATGTATGTAATGTTGCATATTTGATGTTTTTATTTCATAAATATTTTGATTCTATTCATTGTTTGTTCTTTTGTTTTAATTTTTCATTTTAATTTATAATTATAATAATCTATTTTAGAATTTACGCTTGATTTGTTTTTTCTATTAACTTAATCATTCTTTTTTCTTTCATAAAATCCAAAATGTTTATGATATTTTGGCAAGAAAACAAATAACTGATCGTATAATTCAAATTTTCGAAATGATTAATTTCTTATAAAAATTTTCTTCTTCCTTCATTTTCATATAACTTTAAACAATAACGATAATTAATCAATAAATGAAATTATAAGTAATAATTTTGACATTAAAAAGGAAAAACAAAATGTGGCAAATAATTTTTTACCACTCCATTTTGTACACTAAAACCAAGTTGATATTTAGTATCAGGACGTCGAATTCGAACTTCAACAACTGGTGGCATTGAAACAACTGTTAATTTTACAGCTGTAGAAGTTTTCGTTGCCTAAAAATTATATATCATTTTTTCTTTTAATAATTATCGCTAAAATAATGATTAATAATAATAATTAACGGTAATAATTATTGATAATAGTAGTAATAATAATGATAATAATAATAATAGTATATAGAAGTAATAATGCACAATTATTGCAACTTATAGGAAATTGATAACTGAAATTTCTAATAATAATTTTTTATTTATTTATCAGAAAAAAGTTATAAATTAATTAACCTTAATATTTTGTTGCGCTGACGCTAATGGAAGACCTACTAATGATATGCCATTAATTGCAATTATCTGAAAAGAATTAATTAACTAATTACAAATTGTTAGAAATAGAAAAAAAAAGATGATTGAAATATGAATTTTCTTTTTAGCTTTTAATATTTTATTTTTCAAATTTTTTTCGATATGAAAAGAATAAATATTTGTTGCTGTTATTGTTTTTCTTTTAATTAAAAAATTAATGATTACGGACCTGATCACCAATATTTAAATGATTACATCGACAAGCAGCACCATTTGGTTGTAAATTAGCAATAACAACCGTTGGCAGCATGGAACCCCAACCGGATTCAACAACTACAACACCTAACGGTTCACCAGCTTTTTTAGGTACAACAACATCTTTTTGAGTTTCCTTCTTAGCAAACATCTCCAATTCATCACCCATTAATTCTTGTGAACTTAATACTTCCTAAAATTTTACTTTTAACAATTATTATATAATAAAAATTATGTGCTTCAGCTAATGCTAATTAATTAGAAATAATTTAATTAGAAATAAAAGTTTATTTCGAAATTGTAAATGAAATTTTTTTCTGAGATATAATATTAAGATTCAATAAATTTACATTAGTAATATTTTACAATTCAATCAAATAATTTAGTATAAATTAAAAAAGAAATAAACAATTCTTAATAAACAAAAATGTAATCAATAAATTGAATGATTGAGATATTAAACAAATATAATTTAAATAGTATTATAAATAATAATTAAGCATTATATAGCATTTACAAAAATTAAAATTAAATTTTGCGGATCAATAAATTCAAACCTAAAATTAATTTTTTTTTAAGTTTGAATTTATTGATTGATAAAATTAAAATAAAATTTTTTCCATCATTTTGTTCATTTTTTCTATTCCAATTAATATTTCATAATTTTATAATTGCCGAAAAAGAATATGATAATTTCATCAAAATTTTTCATATCTGCTGATAGCACTAAAGTTATTCTTTTGAAAGCGGAAGATTGAAAGAAAGTAACGAAATAAGGTAATAAAATAAACCTGATAATCAATTTCACGCAAATATGATGGATCATCGATACCATTAGCACGAAGAAATTCAACATAAGCAACCTGGAAGGCTTGTCCAATAGATTGGGCAATAAATGATGCTTCATCCGATTCAAAGACATGACATATCACGCGAGGTGTACTGTAAACAAAACATTCTTTTTGATATCAATGATTTATTATAACTTCTAATATGTCATTTAAAAAAACAAAATATAAAATATTTATACATGGTAAATAATAATTTTTTATTATAATTATTATTCAAATATTAGGAATTTTAACAATTTTAATTCTTTCTTTCTCTCTCTCTCTCTCTGTCTTACTATCTTTTATTTTTTATGATATCCATTTCACACTTCATGTTAAAGTTACTGAAATCCATTATTAAATGGTACTGAAATCCATTTCATCATAATACCAAAAAGTAGTTTTGAAGGAATTTTGTTTATTAATTATTTCTGTTAAAGTTACTAAAATCCATTATTAAATGATACTGAAATCCATTTCATCATAATACCAAAAAAATATTTTTGAAAGAATTTTAATTTAAATTTTAAAGGAATTAAAACAATTCCATACTTTATAGATAAATCCTCCTTAGATGTTTGTGACATTCGACGCGCCATCAAAACAACCAATTCACCGATATCCGCAATATACGATATCGTTCTTAATGCATAATCCATTAATATATCCTGCAAAAAGAACGAACAAGTTTACCTCTTTATCATCTGATAATACCTGTAGACAATATCTTTAGATAAATTAACTGGTAATACTTTTTTGGCGATCGATAAATTAATCAATCAATTAACTAAGATGAGCAATTATTAAAGATATTGGCAAAAACCTTTATCACAAGAATTGCAGATTTTTTACCTTTAATTTAAAAATTACTTCGATAGCTGAATTTTAATTTACGAATTATTTTGGTGGCTCAATTTTAATTTGAATGCAAACATTCATATATTCACGATTTGCTCAACGGCTGAATAGGATGATTGAGTTATAATTAATGCAATTTCACCAGACATTTTATAATAAATATATACGTACGTACACGTTTATATAAAATATACAAACGTGTATGCTAAATATATGCTAATATTTGCTTTTTAATATATTATTTTAATATATGTTTTATTTTAATATATATATTTTAATATATGTTTTATTTTAATATTTTAATTTTAATATATGCTAATATTTTAATATATGCTAATATATGCTAATAGGTATGCTAAAGATATCATTTTAATAGAATAAAATAATATTCATAGAAAAAGAAAGAAAGGTATAGAGTGAGAAATTTAAGCAGCAAAAGTATAATGTTGAATAAATGAAATATTAATAAAATTGAATTTAAATGATAAATGAATGAAATTTGAATTGGTATTATCTAAATTTTAATTTTATGAATTTTTTCACTTTCAAAATTTTCGACAAAGTAAACATAAAATTTCTTTTAATATCCGATCTATCAATCTAACATTAGCAAAAGTTTAAAAAAATAATGACATTGATATAAGACAGATGATAACTTTATTAGATGCAACTTTGCATGATATAGGATCGATAGGTGCGCTTAGGCCTGTAGTAATTTCAGATGTCGAAATTTGATTTCACAAAATAAGAAGGAAAAAAAAGTTTAAAAAAATAGTAACACAAATATAAGGCAGATGATAACTTTATTAAATGTAACTCTGCATGATATAGGATCGATGTTGAGCCTAGGCCTGTAGCAATTTCAGATGTCGAAATTTGCTTTCATGTGTTAAAACAAAAATAGAATAATTATCATTAATTAACAAATTAAAATTATTATTTTATAATTTTCAATTTAATAAAACATACCTGTCGAACATCTGTATCTGATATCCGCTGAAATAATTTAAAGAATGAATTATGTTATAAACAAAATATGGGAAGTATTGACATTTAACCCTAAAGATAATATTCAATTTATTGATTTTTCATCAAAAAAAGAAAAGTGAAATTTCAATCTTCCTATAAATTAAGTAATGTGTTCAAAGATTAAAATAAATAATGAAAAACTACTTTTTAAAAAATCTAAATGAATAGAAATTAATTCCTTTAAGTTAAAGCTAAGAAAACATAGCGTAATTTTAAGACAACAAAGATAATACACAGGTAATATATTCATGAAAAAACCTGAAGATCGGTATTTAATACCATAATTTTCTCTGTTGATATAAATAAATCAATATCTGTACTTGGTTGAATTTCACCCGCTGGTGCCTTTAAATAATGGAAATATTATATTTTGCAAATTTACATTTAGAAATTTCAGAATTTTATGAATTAAAAATTTGACGACAATAAAAATGTATTAATTAATTAATGAGCAAATAATGTCCGATAAAAAAAAAGGAAATGCAATATACAGAAAATTATTCGAACAATTTCGATATTTTAATAAAATGAAATTAGTTATTTCAATTTTAACCTTAACTCGAGCTACCGCTTCTTGTGCTTGTGTCATACGACTTGCTTTCGTTGGCCTTCCCTCACAAATTAACTGTGTTGAGCCTAAATATCTGGCTCGAAATAGTACACCTTCAATGAGTACTGCTGGCTCATGTACCATAACTACAATAAAATTATTTAGAAATTAAAAAAATAAATTAAATAAAAATTTAATTTACATTGAAAAGAAATTAAAACATTCAAAAGTAATATATAAATTTTGGTGAAATTAATTACTTACCTGTATAATTGTCAAAAAAAGCAAAATTGAAATGATAAGTAAGGAATAAAATTGAAATTTTCACTTTTCAATTAATTAATTTTATCAGTCATTTATTTTATTAACAACAACTGATATTAATTTTAGTTAATCAGTTAATTTTAATTAATCAATTTATCAGTTACTTTGCAAAATATGAAATTTATAAAAAACAAACCTTCCTTTTTAGAACCTTTCTTTGTTTTAATTCCATCATCACCACCTTGTTCATCCTTTGCTAGCAAACTGTCAGTTTCATTAATCACTTCATCCGATGCTGGTTCTAATTCTGTAAAAGTGAAATTATATTTACATTATATTCAAAAATTATACTTCTATATGCTAGAAAAAACAAAATATGATAAATGATATGTTATCAATTAAATAAATTATCAAATTTAAAAATACTCAAATTAACAAAATATGATAAGTGCTGTGTTATCAATTAAATAAATTATCAAATTTAAAAATACTCAAATTAACAAAATATGATAAGTGCTGTGTTATCAATTACATAAATTATCAAATTTAAAAATACTCAAATTAACAAAATATGATAAGTGCTGTGTTATCAATTAAATAAATTATCAAATTTAAAAATACTCAAATTAACAAAATATGATAAGTGCTGTGTTATCAATTAAATAAATTATCAAATTCCTATATCAAACTTCAAAATTACTAAATTAATAATAAGTTACTCACTTTCGGTGCTTTTATTCATTTCCATAATTTGTTCATTATTTTGACTTTCTTCCCTTTGAATCCTTTTCAGATAAGAATCTCTGTAACATAAAATTTCATTATCAAATCTAAAATTTTCTCTGCAGTAAAGCTATGTACATATGCAATGCAAGAAATTTGATGCTATTTATAAGATGTTGAATGAATGAAAAACGAAACTGAATTACTACTAATAATCATCCATTCATTTCAATCAAAAATTATAAATTCTAATTTAAAGCAAGGATAAATTTGAAACTCTGATTCTAAATTAATTAAGATTAAGTTCGAATAATTAAGCATGCATCTTGCATCCTTACAGTATTCCATCATATACACGAATGCATGCATCATACTGTACATTACAGTGGATTACAGTAGATTTATTCGTACCTCATAACCCAAATAGGTTCTCCTCCTGTACCATTTTCCTCACTATTTCCATTTTCTTTACCGGATGTATGCTTCTCATTTTCCATCCAATCACTTTCACCGGGCCAATTATTTTGTGAAGTCTGTAAAAAAATTTAAAGTTAAAACTTTTGTACAATTATGCCTAAAAAGAGGAATAGATATTTTGAAAAGAAAAGAAATGAAATTAAATTTAAATTAATATTAGATTATATAAGAGATCAAAAAAGAACTGAAATAATACAGAATGTTAACCATTCTTCAATAATTATATTTGATAATACTATCGCATAAAAATTAAAATACCGTTTGAAGTGAATATTTCCGATGTCGTTGTTGATAATTATTCGGTGTATCATTTTGTTGTTGAATTAATAATTTTTGTTGTGCATTTGATGTTGTTGTCGTTGTTGTTATTACTGATACTGTTGTTACTGGTGTTATTGTTGCTGTTGTTGTTGATGATGATGATGGAACAGGTTTTGATAATGATGATAATGATAAAGATGATGATGATAGAGATGATGATGATGATGAAAATGATGATGATGATGGTGGTGGAGGTGGTGGTGGTGGTGGTGGTGGTGGTGGTGGTGGTGGTATTTTTTGTTTCAAACAATCACCATTACTTGTTGTAATATCAGTAATAATTGGTGTCATCGTACTTATCGTTTGTGTATTAGCTGATATTTCCATACATTGTTGATCATTTTCAGCAGTGATAAAATTATTACTATCAATAGTAGACGGTGATGATTGTGATGGTGGTGGAAATGGAAAATTAGAAAATATATTCATTGCTTGTCCATGTTGAGATTGTTGTAAAATTGCTGCTGCGAGCTTAAAAAAAAATGAAACGAAATTTTTGATATTTATATTTTGGAAAAAAAAATTTCAATAAAAATTAATTTTTGTAATTAACTTTCTTTGATTGTCGATTTATAAGAACAATAGAAATTTTTCAAAAATTTAAACATTTCAATGTAATCGAACATATAAAAACCATTTTAAAAAAAAGATTAGAATTCCATTTGAAGTGTTTAAAAGTTTTGCAAATTAAAATTCTACCTTAATTTTTAATTCATTCATCAATTTCCATTTATGGAAACTTTCAGAAACTAATTTAAACAATCTCTTAAAAAGTGATCAAAATTTTTAAAATAAAATTACCTGTGGTGAAATATGTTGATGTGTACTGGGGAAATAATATGCATGCGATGGCAGTGGTGGTGGAGGTGGTGGTGGTGGAGGTGGCGGTGTTGAAAAATATGGTTGAAATTGTGGATATGATTGTGGTGAAATGGTACCAAATGCTGCTACAGCTGCTGCAGCTGCAGCTGCATGTGTAAATTGTTTCATAGTAGTTGGTAATGATGTAGAGCAGCAATTTTTTGACGGTACCATAGCAGTGGTATCAGTTAATTGTCCACCTGGTATACCTAAATGGAGTGATGGAAATTGCTGTTGTTGTTGTTGTTGTTGTTGTTGTTGTTGTTGCAGTTGTGAATAATGTTCATAATGATACGAGGATGATTGTGGTGTAAGTGATGGTAAATTCGAATTTGATGGTGCTATAGCTGGTAGAGCAAATGAATTACGAAGTTGTTCCAATGTTGGTTTCGATGTTGAAATATCCGATTTTCTGATTTCACCGGCACCAAATGGTAGAACGCTCTGCAAAAACAAAAAGGAAATATTGATAATATTACAAATGAAAATAATTATTTGTTAATTATTGGATTGAAAGTAATTAAATAAATGCTAATTAAAAATGAAAGAAAAATACTTAAGCAAAATTGCCAGAAAAAAATATTAAAATTAAAATATGATTTAAAACGTAGAAAAGAAATCACATGCAATAATAATCAAATTACTACAATTAAATTTCAATTTAGAGAATTTAAAATTACAAAGAAATGTTATAAAATTTTAAAACAATAAAAGGATTCTATATTATATTTGAAAGAAAACTAGTTGTTGAGAAATAGTTCGTTGATTTGATAATTATTAATTGCTTGAAATGTTTCATTTTTAATTACAAAATTAATCAAGGCCTTTTATCGATTAATTGAAAAAATCAGACAGGATACGGTTTATCTATTGGCAATCATTAATATCATTAAAAATCATATCATTAATATCTACCGGATATATTCTCATTATGATTTATATGCATAAGTATAATTTATAGCATAATGTACAATTATTGCATGAGTTAACCGGATTACCATTCATCCAATGTGTAGTGACCGTTTAATTGCCCATTTTCTTTTCTTCCCTTTCCCCACCTTTCAGTCTACTACTATTTAATCTCATCCGGTATTTTGCATCTTTCGATCTTTTACTAATTAATCGTCCGATATTTCTCATCCTTCGGATCCACATTACTAGTTTAGTTTCCAATATTTTGAATCTTCTAGTCTATATTGCTAATTAAGCTTTCAGTCCGGTATTTCCGATCATTTAATTTCGACAAATATATTTAGTATCGTTCCAATATTACTCTAACTCTTTTCATCCTACAGAAAATATCATAATAAAATCATTAAATCGCTAAAAAAACTTTTTTACGAATGATATTTATATGTGTGAAAGTAAAATATAAAATAATTAAAAAACAAAGACAAAATTAAAATTTGACAATTTTGGAAAATTGTTTTTTGAAATATATGCAAATTTTATAATTAAAATTTATAGTTAAAAAAGATATACCTAAATTATACCTAAAATCCTAAAATTGAAACCCTAAAATTTACCGATTTTACAAAATCACTTCACAATAAAATATCAAAATACACTATAAAACACAGGCATTCCACAGAGCCATACAATATACAACAACAACAACAACAACAACAACAACAAAAAGGAAGACCACAACAATTAAGAAAGTTTTTTTCCATAAAAACCTGATCTGTTGTATTAGATGAATGAGCATATACTGATGGATACTGTAGTTGAGTACAAGCAGATTGATAACTACAACTATTGATAGAATTCAAAAGTTGAGCCAACTCATTTTCATCAATCTGAAAGAGAAAAGCAAAACAACAAAAATCTATCTATTCCTTAATATTTCATTCCTTCTTCTTTTTCTCATTCATTTCTAAGAATGTTTAATAAATAATTTATTTTAAATTATAAAACTAAAATTGATAAAATAAACAAATATAAATTTCCATTTGAATTTATCGCTTCATTCTCATTTTTTTAAATTAAAATAATTCATATAGCACAGAAATATGCAATAATTCCTTTTTTAAGATCTATCCAATTTGAAATGGATAACTTAAATTTTGTAATCAAATATAATTATATTTATCCCTGAAATAATTAATATGCGGTAAATTTGATATTTTTTAATGCCTATACTTAAATATATTAGATTCGATACTTATTTCAGCTAACTACTTAAATAAATTGTTAAATTATAAATTATTCATATCTAATAATGATATGATATGATACTTACATTACTTAAATAATTACTTAAATAAATGTGTTAAATTACAAACTATTCATATTTAATAATGATATAATACTTATATTACTTAAATAAATGTGTTAAATTACAAACTATTCATGTCTAATAATGATATGATACTTAAATAATTACTTAAGTAAATGTGTTAAATTACAAGCTGTTCATATTTAATAATGAATAAATAATTTTAACTCAAAATTTTCAATAGTCAAATTTATTTTAAGTATTTGAATAAATGTCTTTGATAATTTATTGAGTATTAAATTAATATATGATCTACATTTTCAACATTTAATTTTAATTCAAAAATATTTGAAGATTCCATATCAGATAGATGAAAATTTGTTGCAAAGTTTATTAATAAATAAAATGAATGAAAGATGGAAATTCTAAAATGAAATATGACAAATATCAGATACTGTATAATCAACATGAAGGGTAAAGATAAGAGAAACAAAAATTCTTATCATTAATTTGATAGCTTACTATTTGTTATCAAATTAAACATTCAAATGAAATTGTGTTAGTGATAGGATGCAATAAAGAAGGCATATTTTAATGTGAACTATGAACTCTAAATTATTCATTTCTTATCATTTCTTTCCCTTTTCTAAATTTCATATTTCAATATAAAATTCAAATTCAAAACATACTTTTTTAATATTACGATTTTGTATTCGTCGATTAATTTCTTTATCAATTTCATTCATTTGTTTCTTGATCAAAACAGATGTTCGACATTCTTCTTCCTGAACGGTGTTTACACCGTTACTTTTATCATTTGATGATGATGTTAATAACGATGATTCGGGTATGTTTTTTGTTGATGTTGAAGAAATCGAAGTTGTTATTTTGGATGATGGTATTGTTTCAGATAATTTCGTAGAATTAATCGATGATAATTCATTTGTGATAATTTCTGAATGTCCGCTTTTTTTCACATTTTTTCCTTCCAATAATAAACCATCATCATTCTTACTACTGTTGAAACATTTTGCAACATTATTCGACAGTGGTATAATATCAGTTGTTGAATGATTATTATCACTCTCCTAAAAAAATCTCTTTCAAATTTAAAATAATTCTTGAAAATAAAAACATCAAAAAATTTTGAAATATTTGAGGAAAAAAAAAGAACAAAGAAAATCTTTAAAAAATTTTTCAACATTTTATTTTAGATTTAAAAAGTTTTGAAGAAAGAGAAAGAGAGAGAAAATATGTAAAGTAATTAAAAAAAGAGAAAAAGAAAAATGAGAAATTGTTTATTTTTTGAAAATTATAATTCATACCTGATTAATTTCATCAGAATTAGTAATATCACCTTGTTTTACCGATAATGCAACATTATGTCCTGTAAAAAAAGCACATCTATTAATGTATTAATTTGAGTAAAAATTTAAATGTATCAATTTGAATATAATTTTATTTTTGAATTCTTTATATAATAACAATTATAACAACATTATATCAAGATAAGCACTACAGATATGTTTTATCATCGATCGGATGAATTCTTCCAATAATCATTTTAAAAACTGCTAAAGATATTAATCTTTATATAATAACTAATAATAATTAATGATAATTAATAGTATATAATAATTAATTATTATATCAAACTAATACATTCAAATTTATCAACAATAATAATATAACAATAATAATATTTAATAATAATTAATGATAATTAATAGTATATAATAATTAATAATACGGTCAATAATTTCAGAAAATTTTTTAACTCACTTCTTTTCGTCGTTGTTAGTTAGGATATTGTCATTATTACATTTCGATATGATAATAATTATTAACAATTCTTAATAATAATTAATAATGAACAATAACTAATGATAATCAATAACAATTAATAATATATAACAATAGTAATTAATGATACGGTCAATAATTCCACAAAATTTATTAGCTCTTTTTGTTGTTGCTAATTAGGATATTGTCATTATTACATTTCGATTCTTTCGTCGAAAATAGTTGAAATTTCAATAGGAATATATAAAATATCGTTTCAAATCAAAAAAAAAAGAAGAGAAAAACGAAACGAAAAATTGTTAGAATTTTAAAAAAATAAAATTTAAAATTTTAAAATTTTAAAAATTTTAAAAATCGAAATTTTTAAATTTTAAAATTTAAAATTTTAAAATTTAAAAAATTTAAGACAAAATGATAACTGTAATATTTTGAGATTTTTTGTTAAAAATTTTTTCAACAATTTCATTTTACCATTCATTTCATTGCTTTCGCTATCATTCATTGTGAAATTTTTACTTTCATTTACTTCGTCTTCTTCCTCTTCCTCTTCTCCATCTTTCACATCCTTGATTTCCTTTGATATATTTGAAATAATTAAATTTGTCTCAGAAATCTAAAACAAAAAAAAGAGCAAATGTTAGAAGAGATAATAGTAATTAAAGAATAAATTTAATGAAACAAAAGAAGCAATACCATCAAAAGAAGTTTTTCTTTTTAATTTATAATTAAAAATTATTGAAAATGTGCATTTCATTTTTTTCAAAAATATTTTAAAAAATGGTCATTAAAATGATAAAAATATATTTGCCATCCTGCAAATATACCAATTAGTGATTAAATTGTAATCTGATATGATATGATATGATATTAGGTTTGAAAAACAATTTAGCTTAATGAAAGAAATAATTCCAAAAGCATTATCTTTCTTTTTCCCTCTTTCTTCCTCTCCCTGTCCCTCTCTCTCTCTCTCTCTCTCTCTCTCTCTCTATCTCTCTTTCCTTTTCTCTTTTATTCATTCCATTTTTTTTGCTTTTATTCAATTGCAAATTTAATGAGTATTCGATGAATTCGATGATATTGTAAAACCACCGCTATCCACTTTCCTTTCCATTTGTTATATCATTAATTTCTTTCTCTCTCTCTCTCTCTCTTTTTTTCCATTCCAAATAACGGATGATAATTGGTGGTGTGGAAGAATGCGGAAAATGCAGGCGGAAAATGTGGAATATCGTGGAAAATACCGAATAAAATAAGAGATAGGAGCGAAAGGGAGAGGAAGAAAAATATTTGTAATATAAATAATTAATAAATTAAATAATAATTAACATAGAAATTTATTTATTTAGAATACAATTTCTAATCTGATCATTTTCAACAAACAATAAACATCTAAAGTAGTTGAAGAAATTTCTTTAATTAAAAATTTGCAAAAAATAATAATAAAGATTAATTGAATTCAAATTAAAATCTTTTTTATAATTAAACATTTCAAAAATTTTCTCATTCGCTTTAAATTTAAATAATTTTTGTTTTATTTCAAACAATTTTAATTAACTATTTTTAGAATTTTAATTGAAAACTTTTTTCTAATTAATTAGAGATTTTAATTAAATACTTTTTGAAATTTTTCATTTTAAATTTAATGATATGAAGTTTAAATTGTTCTTTCTTTCTAAGTGAGAAAAGAAAATGCAAAATTAGCATAATTAAACTTATAGTTAAAACGTTTTTCACACTGCCGAATACTTTATCAAACAACTTTGCTTAAAATAAATCTAACAATTTAATAAGAACTGTAACTATATGAATTTAACAATTTATAAGTTATTAAACAAAAAAAGATTTATAATTATCAAAATTTATAATTATGAAACATTCTACTCAATAATGTTGTGAGATAATTAGATATAGTAAAAATTTACCGGAATTGAATTAGCATATTGTGATATTGCCGGATTATTTAAATATAACTGTTGTTGCATACTATGAATCAGAACTGGTAAAGCATTCGGGAAATCCAGCGGGAAACGAGCGGAATCAACGGATAATTGCTCCTGGCTGTCATCTATCGGCTGCAATATAGCTCATTTAATGATTTTGAAACTAATCTAACAAATGTGAATTTGAATGTCATTGTAAATCAATCTGCATAGGATGAAAGTTACGAGTTAATTAAATTTATATCCAATCGCTTTATTATTTCTTTTAAAATATCATGTGGTAGAATTTCAAACGATGTATTATATCAATTGAAATGTTTAAGGTAAAATGAACTAAATATGTGATTGAAAAAAATAGCATGATAACAATTATCCGATTATCAGCCCTCTCTAACCGGATACGCTATTCGGTTAGAGAAGGCTGATAATCGGATAATTGTTATCATGCTACAAAAATTGGATGGTCGGTAAGTTATGAATGATAACAATTATCCGATTATCAGCCCTCTCTAACCGGATACGAATTGGTGGTAGAAGAAATATTACAAATTACTTTCCGAAAATAATGCAATCAATTAAATTAAGTTTTTCAATTTGAATTAAGTCTTAGATAAATTAAGAATGCTTGAAAATTAAAATAAAATATGCTTCCCAACAAACTGTCCGTTTTATTTACATAGCAAATAATACCATAATGAAATAAATCAAATTAATATAAACCTTTATAAAATTATAGTGAACGTTTATTTTAATTCAGAACAAATATTTTCGATAAAGAATAGACGTAAACTATGTATAAGTTAGACGTGAAGGAAAGGCGAAAACTATATATAAAGGATAGATGAAAATATACGTAAGGTTCATATGGAGGATATACGAAACAAGGTGTAAGTTACGTGAAGAATAAATGAAAAGTATATGTAAAGTATATAGCGAAGGGTAAACGGAAACTATATGTAAGGTTCACGTGAGGGATAGATGGAACTATAAGTTAGATGAAGGACAGACGTAAAGTATATATGTTATATGTAAGGTTCACATATAGATGAGAACTATATATATGTAAGGTTCACGTGAAGGAGAGTTGGAACTATAAGCTAGATGAAGGATAGACGTAAAGTATATATTTAAGGTAAACATGAATACCTGAAAAATAACTATATGAAAACTTTAAACTATAAAATTATTTTTATTAACTATATGAAAACTTTAAACTATAAAATTATTAATTAATAATTTTAGTCATATTGTTTTATGAAATTATTTCTTCTTCTAATAAATATTTGCTGCTAATTTTACCTTTTCCGTTTTTTGGCCTGAAATAATTGAAAATGAAAAAAAAGGAAAAGAAAAATTATTTCCCAATAAAGTAATATTTCTCAAATTAATGAATACGTGAATAAGAAAAATAATATAAAATAAAATATAATAAAAATGATTGCATTTATATTTAAAGAATAGAAAGAGAGAAGAGAGGGAAAGGGAGAGAGAGAGAGAGAATGGAAAGAATTAAAAAAATGTATGATGAGAAATGCTCGTTAGTAATGATAAATGAATGATAAAGCTATGCCCTCCGCCTGATAATATGTTAAACAATTGTAGAAGACAGATGGAATTTTAATTTCATCCAAAATTAGAATTTAAAAATTTTTAATGTCAAAAAAATCAATAGTATGTATGATTTGAGATACATAAAAATTTAATTCTATTTCAATTTTAAATTTGAATTGAAAGTTAGAAATAAGATAAAATAATTAAAAAGAAGATAAGGTCAACCTGATCATTTGTTGTAGTTGTTGTTGTTGTAGTAGCAGTGGTAGTGATAGTGGCAGTATTAGTAGTAGTAGTAGTAGTAACATCTGATAATATATTATTGCCAGGAAGTTGTGATGCAGCTGCCATTAAACTTTGAATATAATGCTGCATCATTTCTTGACATTTTAAACTTTGCATAACATAATTACCGGTTTGCAATGGATTACTTCGATAATCACCGTTTTCCGAACCGATTAATTGAGAAGAATCAATTACACCAATACTACTACTACTACCACCATCACCACTATTACTACTACCACCTAGTGATGTTGCAGTTATAGCAGTAGCAGCTTGTTGTGGCATAAATGGTGTCATGAATGGATTAGCGAAAAATGATGGCACCGAATTTGGCATCATTGATAACGAATTATTGCCTGAAAAATTTCTGCAAAAATTTCACAATTTTTCTTTTTGCTATAAATTAGCAAAAAAAAAACAAAGAAAAAGAACAATGATTTCTAATTCGTATTAATTAATCATAAAATTATAATGTTATCATTCAAAAAGATTAATTATCAAAAAGAAATCATTTTATTATCAAAAATTTTCCCTTTCTCTTATCAGTTAAATCATTCACTCTTTCTCTTCTTCTCCTCTTTTTTCCGTAATCATTTCTTTTCTTAACATTCAATCATATCATATAACTAGAACTATTCAAGCCTTATACCACTCTTATCGTTTTTAATGTGGAAAAAAAGAGAGAGAGAGAGAGGGAGAGAGGAAGCGGAAAATTCTAATTTATCAGAGAAATATCCGTTGGAATTAAAAATGAACAAAGCTACTAATCAAAAAAAACGACGATAAAAGAGAAAAATCCAATCATTATTTTTATTTTTCCCTTTTCTCTTTCTTTCTCTCCCTCTCTCTCTCTCTCTCTCTTTTCTTTTTCCCTTTTAATTCCGATACGTTTTTCATTCTTTTGCTTATTTCACTCTTCTCTTTTTAAGCAAAATTTAAATCAAAAATGTTTTCGACATAAATTTAAAAAATGCATGTATTATATTGAAGTCATTTCAAAAAGTTCTAATTAATTTATTTTTTATTAAAAATTTTAATTTACAAAAAAGAAAAGTCTCTTACATACATAACACTCACAAATATAATCGTATAAGGCATATTAACCGATCCGATAGGGCCTTATCTGTATGTCGTCACTAATATAATCGTATTTTGAGGGATATTATCCGATCCGATAGGCCTTATCGCATGTCGTCACTAATATAATCGTATAAGATTTTTCATCCGAAAGCCTATCTGATGTCGACACTAATGCACTAATGTAATCGTATAAGGCATATCATCCGATAAGCCCTATCGGATGTCGGCACATATTTTAGCATTGGTCAAATTGTCACTCCCAAGTGTATCATCGGTTCAACAAATATAGCTGCTGCTTATATTTCTCCAGAATTTTTCTTCATTAATCACAAAATCCAATCATCGATAATGATTCAAACATAAAGAAGGAAAAAACTTTAAAATGAAAAACATTAGTAAAATTTTACAAATTTCATAATTTCCTGGGAAAATTCCGGAAAAGAAGAAAAAGTGTAAAAAAAATCCCGAGAAAGTATTTTATAGTTTATTATAGAATGAATAGTTGAAATTAGTAATGAATTAAATTGGAAGCATTCATTTCCTATTGTTTTCAAATTAAAAATGAAACAAAAGAAAAAGGAAAAGATGAAATGAATTTCACACATTTACTATAATACTTTGAAAAGTCTAACTTTTCAAAAAAATTTCCAGCTTCATATTTCAAATATTGACAGTAATAGAATTAAATATTTTGCTTTCATTTAATATCGATTAATATCGATTAGTATCTCTGACGATTCAATTAAATCATTAAAATTGACAGCTGTAACATTTTTTGATCCAAAATATGATGTCATTTAAATTCGTTAAGGCAAAAATAAATTCATCTTATTGATTTAAACTTCAATCATTCAAATTTAGTTTTTAATAATTTGACATTCATATTCAATTTTGATAAAATCATTATCATTTATGCGACATATAAAAAAATAAAATGAAAATCAATATGGTTAATTTTTCAATGATAATTAAGCTCGCAAATTCATTTTTGTTTTAACCATTACTAATTAATTATATTTTCTATCCAGCAGTATTGATTTAATTTTTGAGAAAAATTATCGTCACACTGATTTAAAAATAATTTATTTGATTATAATCGTGATAATATTCATTGTCAAATATTAATACCATATTTATTCGTCCATTCATCACACATATCATTAATGGATATATTAATAGATATATATTATATTATTAACAAATATTTTTCTAAACTAATTCAGAAAATATATTCCTAAGAAAATATTTTACTCTTATTGATAAATTATATTCAATAAAACTATTAACAAAATTAATCTAACAAATTCCATAAACAATCATTATTCTATAACAATAAATGATTATGATATAGATCTATTATAATATTTATATCATAAGAATTTATAAGCAATCTTTAATTATTAAATTTTATAGCACAAATTGATAAACATTTCTGATTGTATATCACGAATTGAAAAGATAAATATTTCTTATTCAATATAATATTATAATTATTCCACAAATTAAAACTTCACCTTGATGATAATAATTAATAAATAATAATAATAACAACAATAATAATAATAATAACAATAATAATAATAATAATAATAATAATAATAATAAAACGTTGAATATTTCATATATAAGCTATTAATGGATAGAAGATATTAAGTGAAAAGACTAAAAAAGATGAAGTCAAAAGGATTCTTGAAAATTTTAATCAACATTTATCAAAATGGAATAAAAGAGCGAAAAGAAAAAGATGGATCATCAAATTCCACGACAAAGATAATGACTTCTATTTTTGGATTAAATAAAATAGCATTTAATGCAAATGATAAGAGAAAGAGAGAGAGAGAGGAGAGAGAGAGAGAGGGAAAAAACTTCAGATTGAGTTTAATATGATGGAATATATTAGACAGATTCGATTCGATTATATTATCATTATCATCCTTATCATTTCTTAATTTCATCCATCTCATTTCATTCATTCATTCATTCTAAAAAATATCTACGGCAGTTATCATAATAACTGCGAATTAAATCACGGTATATTATTACGAAAAATAAGAAGAAAAAAACCATATGATATTATTAATATCTCTTCTTGTCAACCGTTATAATATTCATTTGATTTGATCATAAGTGTTTCAATTAAATATTATCATTGATATCACTATGATAACAGCAGGTTTGATTATGAGAGTAAACAGCATTTCTTACAGTTTTTTTAATCAATCAAATTTAGTCATAATTTTTCGTTATGATAATATATGTAATGTAACACGCAAACATGCAAACATTATTGTCCCTAAATCATCGTAAAGTAAATTTAAAAAAGAATATTTCTAAATTTCTTTCAATTTCAGAATATAATACCTACACACCCACACACACCCCACCTACATCCACCCAAACATCCACAATCTCTATCCACATCCACCTACATACCTCACACATCCTCGTCTACACCCACCTGCATACCCCGCGCATCTTCACCTACATACCACGCACATCACCTACGTCCACCTACATATTCCACACATCTCCACCTACATCCACCCACATACCCTGCATGTCTCCACCTACATCCAGCTATATACCACACACCTTCACCTACATCCACCCACACGGAGTAAATTCGTGATCGCCCACGCACATATAAGTACATGTTTCGTAGAATTTGAAAAATTTTGTTGAAAAACGTGAAAAAAAAAACCAACGAAAGTTGCAGTTGGAAGTAAAATAGGAAAAATAAAAGGGAAAAAGAAAGCTTCCTCAAAGAAAATAAATATTTGATGACTTATATAATAAAAGTATATTGGAATGTTTAACATATGATAGATAAAAATTTCGTTCAATTTTATCTTCCGGAATAAATAAAAGAAGCAAAGAGGAATGAATGAATGAATGGAACAAATGAACTCATCAAATATTTTCATCCAATGAAATGATGAATAATATTAAAGGTGACATTTTTGTAGAAGAGAAAACATCCAAATGAAAGAGTGACATTTGCGCAATATACTAATTAGTAAATATAATTAATCAATTTTACATAGTAAAAGAAAAAAACCGCGGAAAAGAAATGAAAAAAAATGCTAACACATCCGAAAATAGAAATCATCAAATCATATCCAGAAGTAGAAATCATTAAATCACATCCGGAAATAGAAATCATCAAATCACATCCGAAAATAGAAATCATTAAATCACATCCAGAGGTAAAAATCATTAAATCACATCCGAAAATAGAAATCAACAAATCACATCCGAAAATAGAAATCAACAAATCACATCCGAAAATAGAAATCAACAAATCACATCCGAAAATAGAAATCAATTAAATCAGATCCGGAAATAGAAATCATTAAATCACATCCGGAAATAGAAATCATTAAATCCGGTTATAAAATTATTACATCTTATAAAAGACGAAGAGAAAACCGATTTTATTTAATGAATACAAAATGAAAGTAAAAAAAAATGGGTAAAAATTATTGGTAATTATGAAAATACTATGAAATAAAGGAAAATGAAAAATTTAATTTAATTCTAAAAATTTAAAAAATGAAAAATATCCAATGAATGTGTATGTGTGTATGTATATGTTCAAGCATTTTAAATAAACTTTTTTCATTCCTCTTCCTCTCAATCTGAATACATCTTTCTTTCCAGTCCTTAATCCTACAAACATACCCCACCTCTTCACATCGCTTAAAATTTCCTCTTTTTACCAAATGCCTTCCTTCTTCAACAATTTTTCATTCCTCCTTCATCTTCCTCCTCCTCCTCCTCCTCCTCCTCCTCCTCCTCCTCCTACTAGTCCTCCCTTTCCTCCTCCTCATCCTCTTCCTCGTCCTTCTACTAACTCTTCCCCTTCCCACCTCCTCCTCCTCCTCTTCCTCTCCCGCCTACTAATCCTCCCCTCCTCCTCATCCCCTTCCTCCTCTTTGTTCTCCTCCTACTAGTCCTCCTCCCTCCTCCTCCTCCTCCTCCTCCTCATCTTCCTCTTCCTCCTTATTCTTCATGTATCATACATATTCATTTACATTGAAGAACTGATATCTTCCAAAATATGAATTTCTTTATCACTTATCATAAATAACAGTAACATTTTGGCTAAGTGTTATTTAAGTGTAGAATCTATCTGTTCATATTCATCATCCATTATCAATATTTATGCATGTGTGTACGTGTGTGTGTGTGTATTTACCGGTATGTGCACCCTATGTATTCCTTATATATATATAGTGCACTTGTTAATGATATAT